GTGGGGCGCTCGGGGGCGGTCCTGCCCAGGACGGCGGCGGAGGCAGCGGGGCACAGCGAGGGCGGTGGCGGCACTGTAGGCACCATGTCGTACCCCGGGCACCCTGGCGGCGGAGGAGCGGGCGGCGGCTTCTACCCGGGCGGGGTAAGTGCAGCCAGCGTGGGCTCCAGGTCGGGGCTGCCCCTCGTCCAGGGGCCGCGGAGAGGCCATGGGAGGTGGCCCCCGGCGCCAAAGCACTGCGGGTTGGCCTGGCTCCCCCGGCTCCTCCGGCTGCGGATGTCCCCCGCCTGCCCCCTCGCCCCAGGGCCCAGCGTGGCGTCGCTTCTGTCTGTCTGTCTCTTCCCCGCCTTCCCCCACCCCTACCCCGATCTCCTTCTCCCTAGTGGCTTCCCGGGGTGTGGGCGCGGTGGATTGTGACCCTGGCCACTTCCCTGGTGGCTCTGGGACCACCCTGCGAGATGTGCACATTGAGTGTCGGTTTCCTTCCCCCTCCCGGTGTGTTTCCCCGGAAAACAACAGCCATTTTAAGGTAGGACGGTCCATAGAGCCAGCTTCTTCCCTTTGAAAGGGGAAGTGGAAGGGAGCAAGAAGTGAGGGGACATCGCGTGTCGGAAGGCTGCTGCGCTCCAGAGTGTGGGATGCGCGTCGTCGTGGGAACGGTTTCCAAGGAGGGTCCCTGCACCCCACTCCCCGCCTTAACGGACCCGGGCCCCGTTGCCGCCCAGCCTAGCCAGGCGCCCTCCTCCTGCCACTCGCACCCCTATGTCTACCACGGTGTTGTAACAATGCCTGCCCTCCTCGGTTCCTAAAACCTTTGAGGATACCGTCCAGATCTGTAAGAAATGAAAAACAATTCCGAGTCGCCTGCTCATCTGGGAAACTGGCAGGTGTGAAAGTTACTTCCTTTCTGCTGCAGCGGTCCCGTTCCTGACCGCTCATTTCGGTCGTCAGTTACTAGGCTATGGTGGCGAAATGGAAGGAAGTGGTGGAATGATTTGCACTTCGAAGGTGCTGGATTGTGGGGGAAGGGTGTGAAGGGCGGGGGAGGCTCCCAGCGTCCCCCCCCCCCGCCGCGGTGAAGAGTACGAGGCCTGGGCTGAGGATGCGCGTGTGCTTTCTGTTCACAGTACGGAGGGGCGCCCGGAGGGCCCGCGTTTCCCGGACAAGCTCAGGACCCGCTCTACGGTTACTTTGCGTCCGTCGCTGGACAGGTTAGCTTTCTCATCTACTGCTGCAGCTCTTGGCTCCCACTCATTGCCATTGAGGTCCATGCTGACCCACAATGACCCTATAGGACAGGACAGAACTGCAGCAGGGACTTTCCGAGAGAGTCTAACAGGGGTAGAATGGACCGCAGAGGAGTAGTCTTTCAACCGCGGATCCCGTGGTTCGAACTGCTGACCTTTGGTTAGCAACCCAACGCGTAACCACTAAGCCACCAGGGCTCCCATTTGTTACAGGGGTGCGGGGGTGGCGTGGGGTGAAGGAACTTTTGAAAATGAATCTCCTAGCTTTTGCAAAAAAGAGGGAGGAGAGGATTGACAACTATTTGAAACATTTAGAAGAAAATATATGCGTGTGTATGTTGATTCAATTCCATACTACTTGTGATTGAAGGAGGTGAGTTTTGCAGCGGATAGGGAAGTGTTAAGCGTGGGAATCGACCCGATTGCAGTCAGAATTTGGTTTTGGTTTTAGTGAAGAGAGAGCTATAAGGTAGAAAGATAGCGCAAGGTGGTTTCAAGAGAAGAAATTCAAGATGTAGTGAACATAAACTCCTAATTCAAGAAATGTCTTCATAATTATGTAGTGATATTCTAATGGATACTTTCTTCAAGTGAAATTTAATTGGCCATCAGTTCCTCCTCACCCTCACCCTTAGGAAGTAGATAAAATCCCACTAGTTTCTAAATAAATTTAGGATTATTCGCCTACAATAGGAGCCCTAGTGGCCTAATAAGTTCCCAGTTGGGTGACTCCAGCAGACACTTGGTAGGAGAGAAATAATGCCATCCCCTATAAAATTCACAGCCTGCGACGCTGTAGAGAGCAATGCTACCAAGTCCTATAGGCTCCCTATGGCTCAGAATTGACTTCTTAGCTGCTGGTTTGGGCTTTAAAAAAAAGTTTTGGGTGTTTTTTTGCTTTCTTGGTTTCCTAGTCTAATGCAGCTAATCTTGTGAACCATTTAGTTTCTCTGTGAGACAGGTGCTGGTACTAGATAAAGCTTCTCCATGCCCTTATGAAGCATTGTGGCCTGTTGACTTAGAGAATTGGGGGCAGCTCCCCAAGATCTTTCACTTCTCTGCATGCCCGGAGAATCAGCAAGTACCTGCTCACCTTGAGAGAGGACACTGTCCCCAGCTCACGAGGCCACTGTTTATAGTAAATATCCTGTTACTACTGGTGTTTGCCCTTACAAGTCCAATTTAATTTTATTGTGAGGACAAGCTAGAAATAACAAGATTCTAATATGACAACAGCAAGGTGTTGGACTTGACTCAATGGCAGTGGGTTTGGGTTCTTTAACATGAAGATGCCACAGACCACTGCGGGCTTAAGACCACCTTACAAACAGCACCCTGAGAAACAGTTTGAGAAATCGAATGGAAAATTGAGTCTATAATTGGAAGAGCTTCCTCTTAAGTATCTGCTTAATCTATTAATGATCCGTATCTTTGAAACCACAAGACACGGCCAACTTCAAGTCTAGTATTCTTAGATTGCCTCCACCTGCAGCTTGTAAGTGACCCTACCTGCTTAGCTTTCAGCAGCCCTGGCCTGTATTCAGCATATCCATTGCCTTTCAAATGACTGGCCCTGCTCCTTCACTTGTGACTTATTATACCCATGTACTTGAGGGGTTAGTTATTTTATTTTGAAATCCCTGAAAAATGACATCTGTCTAGCTCTGATCTAGTTCAGCCAGTCAATGGACATTGGGAACCTCTGTCTTCCACACAGAATTGTGTTAAGGTGAAAAATATCATTCATCAAATCATAAGAAAAGCTAACCAAAGAATCCCCTATCTGTGTGAGCCAAACTTATTTACTGTGGCCAGTTGTGTACTCCACAAAAGACAAAACACAGAAAGACATCTCAATTAAAGAGACTAGAATAAGATTGTTAAGCACTTCTGAAAATAATTTTACTTTAAATACTTGTTAGTTTTGGTAGCTTCCTAGCTTAGACTGAATGAGTAGTTGCCAAGATAAACCTATTCTATTTATACATTTATATATAAACTCATTTCAGTGTGTGGTTTTGTTTGTTTGTTTGATTAGAAGAGGAACTTTTGCTTGAAACTACTAGCAAAACTAATTCAAGAATTTGGCAAAAGGAGGGGCTGAATATCCCGGAAGAAAGCACAGCCTTACTTCTGCTTACTTAGTAATCTATAGTGAACAGTTTTAGTGAAGCCCATGTGAAACTGTTCACTCGAGATTACTAAGTAAGCACAAGAAAGCTCATGCTTGCCTTGCTTATTGGGCACTCCATTCCGCCAGAGATTGTAAATTTACAAAGAGGCTTTGACTCCATAGGACTGTGCAGTGAGGATGAGAAAGCGAGAGATGCCAGCCCAACCTAGAAGCAGAGTCTTTGATGTGAAAAACTGTGAAAATGTTTACTAGCGATTAGCAAGTAAGCACAAATAACCGTGCTTTTGGGTAATCCAGCGCCGTACAAATGAAATGTACAGATGTAAAGCACTTTGCGGCTCTGTCAGATTTTGCTTAATGGTTATTTACAATACAGCCTGGAACTGAATGCCTGCTTTACTTAGGGATGGGAACTGTGCTTTTGTGTATGTCCTCAATTATCCATTTGTGGAAGAGGGCTTAATAATCCGATAGCTTTCACCATTAGACGATATTTTGGAAGCAAAGGGAGTAAAGGAATGCCCACTTTATAGACTGTATTTGGTGGGGGCGGGGGAATCTCGTGAGCGATGATACAGATGTCTTTGGTCTTATTACTACATTGAACACTGAAGCTAATCAAAGAACCAGAAGGTACACAATCACTATTGCGACTTCTCTTCCTGTTTTGTTTGTCGTCACCCCCCACCCCCCAAAGGATGGGCAAATCGATGCCGACGAGTTGCAGAGGTGTCTGACCCAGTCGGGCATTGCCGGCGGCTACAAACGTAAGTTGACCGAGCGCGTCTCCACCAGCCCGCTCGGGTGTCTGCAGTTCACTGGTCCCTGCGATTATTGTGAGCAAGGAAGGGGAGCTTTTCTGATTCAGCAGAGTTGAGAATGTCAAAAGCTAAAGCCAGTTGTTTATTATTTCACAAAATATATTTAACAATTCCTAATATCCGTCCCCACCATCGAAATGGATTTCCTGGGTTTGGGTTCCGTGTGTCTGGGGCCATTTGAAGCAGGGAGACCGTTTCTCTGGCCGCCTTCACAAAGGACACGGTCAGGTGTTGAAATGAAATCTGCCAGGTCAGGTGTCATTCATGACAGGAGCTAACATTGCCTGCTGTCTGTTTGCCAAGCGCATGCTCGCCCCAAGCCTGGGGGACATTGAGGGCTTGGTGTGGCCAGGCCCACATTCCTGGTTCTGGTCCCTGGTTCCTCCGGTACTGAACTCCAGGCACTTACTCAAAACATGCCTAGCACATGGCTGCCCTCAGGGATTTCCTCTTTAGAGGCTGTGTACCCAGCACGTGGTCCGGCTAAGTAGGAAATAGCTGTCTGATTTATGAGCTCCTTACACTGGTCCATCTCTTTCCCTTCATCCCTTTCCCACCTGCTGGATCCCTGCCGTAGGGAGCAGCCCTCACCCCCCGGCCTGGGCTGCAGATAAGGAAATGGTGCCAAGGCATCGCAGTGGGGCTCGGCCTGCTCCATCAACTCGGACACCCGCACCTCATGCTTTTTCTTCAAAGCACATATGACAAAATCGTGTCTGAGCTCAGTTGCGCTACCCCCAAACATCTTTGCCAATCACTGAGACAGAGTATCTCACTTCACCCCAATCTCATGCTAAGCTGTGAATTAAAATGCTCAAGCTAGAACTGATACTTATTTAGAAGGCACAGTGGCTTCTTTGAACCACTTTCTAAGGTGTATTTTAACTGACTCTTGTTGAACTCTATGTTTTTCTTCTTGTGACTGAACTAGATTACGATTTCCTAGTTGGGGAAATTCATACAAAAGAGGAACCTTTTACATTTCTACCATTTTATTTTGATCCTAGACAAAAGCAGCCGTATTTTCTAAATTGAGAAGAATTTTTTTCAACAGTTACAGGCAACTTATTGCAAAGTATTAACCTGGAACAGTTGGGCTGGTGAACAAAAGAGTTTTATAGCTGGTTTAAGGAAGTTTCACAAAGCAGACTATTATTCTGTTCCCTTCTCAGTAGTAAGAGGTGTGGCAGGTTTTAAACTCTGACTTTCAAAGTGGGCTGTGTATCCCTGGAGAGCAGGTGTTATAATACCTGTTTCATCTGAGGAAGCCACTTGAGTGAATGAGTTATACATAAGACATTTCCTGAGTCACCCGGACCATGTGATTATATTCCTTTGCTTACTGTCATCTGGTCCTGAACTATTGTTTGCAAATATTTCACAATGAACCACAAAACCAGTCCTGCTGTCAGTACACAGTAGAACCCTGGATGCTAATCCGTTCTAGAAGGAGCATCTCGGTGATGCAGTCATGTTCCAAATCAATTTTTTTCATAAGAAATAACTGAAAACAATTAATTCATTCTCTATCACCAAGTTTTTACCCAAAAATTTCAAAGTAAACAAGTTCAGAGTTAAATAATATAGTTTAAATAAGAAACACATTTAAAAAGTTTTTAACAACTACAGTATGGCCCATACCTTGAGACTGATGAGGATCTGGATCTGTGGACACGGATGTGGAGAGGAGGGGTGGCCAGAGAGTCATTGTTGGGGAGGGGAATGTCCTTCCTTAAAAATCAACTAGTAGCTGCTTTTCAGGAGTTTTCTCCCTTCTTTCCCTTTTTTCACTAGGACCTGACTGGCTTTCTCTAAAAAAAAAAAAAAAAAAATTGTCTAATGTGGCCCACTGTTGGTATTTCCTTAACTGTTTTTTAAAAGGGTTTACTAAATTATCAACAATATCAATAACATGTTTAATCAGTTTTTTATCATGATGATTCTTTTCAAAAAAAGTCTTTCTTAGGACCCATGTTTTTCTTCTAAAACCAGTACAAAAAGCCACAATACCTAAGAAGATTATAGCTGAACGCTTGGAACACAGCCACAAAAGGTTTAAACTATCAACGCCAACTAAAGCCAAGTGACTGAAACACAAACTGCTTTTGTTTACAAAAACCACATGCATTGGGTCGGATCCCGATGTTTTGTTTGAGCTCCGATGCAAAATTTTCTCGACATTTTGGGTCAGAATCTGATTATGTTGAGTACTGACACGGTCGAGTACCAGGGTGCTACTGTACATCAATTGGTCTTTTCCACCCCGGTTCACAACCAAAAGGCACACATTCTCGTCTTTGTGAGGGGGAAGTAGGTATGTGAGGTTGGGTTGACTAAAGAAACAAATCCAGGGACACTCATGTGTAAGAGAGAACGTTATATCAAGAAGTAATTATATAGCAAGCAAACATCCTGGCCCAGTCCACTCAAGTCCATAAGTCTGATACTAGTCCATAATTCCCTCCTCAGACTCACGCAGCCACATGCAATGATGCAGAATGCAGGAAGATTCTAGGCTGGTGGATGCAAAGTCTTGTGGAGCCAATGGAAGCCTCACAGGGTTGGTGCAGGTCTCAGCGTGTCTCATGAACAGGAAGGTGAAGGCAGAAGTTGGGCGGGAGGGTGGGGTGGGGCGACCTCCAGAAAGCCATTTGTCTTGGTCCCACCTCCAAAGGGGGTCATCAAGCTGTGACCTAATTGACAGGATAAACTCCATCCATATCTTACAGGTGCCATATTGGGGCAAAAAACCCCACTAACTATCACAGTGGGGGTGGGGGGATGAATACTCCAGCCAATATCTAGGAGCCTCCTCTTAACCAGTTTAAACACAGCTGTACCTAAAGATTAGGTTGATGGAAGAAGTTGTTTTAGTTGAGGCAGTAATTCAACTTCTCTCTTCCTTGAGTTGTTCCCTTGCAATGAAGATGAGAGAATCATCTGGAGTCCGACTTGTCTACTAGGCCCATTACATAGACTATCTCTAAGGCAATCTAATGCACGGAACAGGAGAGAGAGCGAAAGTAAAGATAAGATTATCTAAACGATATTTGAAGTGTGCACCGATTTAAAATAGAATTAACACTAAAGAACAAAAAGTCCTATCGTTGTGTGCTCACCTACCTAATATGATTGCTGAAGGCAAATGGGTGCATAAGCAAATGTGGTGAAGAAAGCTGATGGTGCCTGGCCATCAAAAGATATAGCGTCTGGCTTTTAAAGGCTTGAAGAGAAACAAGCGGCCATCTAGCTCAGAAGCAACAACACCCACATGGAAGAAGTAAACCAGCCTGTGTGATCGTATCAGACATCAAAAAACAAAAAATCATATCATTGTGAATGAGGGGGAGTACAGAGTGGGGACCCAAAGCTCATCTGTAGGCAAGTGGACATCCCCTTACAGAAGAGTCACGGGGAGGAGACAAGCCAGTCAGGGTGCAATGTAGCAATGATGAAACATACAACTTTCCTCTAGTTCCTAAATGCTTCCTCCCCCTGCCCACTATCATGATCCCAATTCTACCTTACACTGGTAGACCGAGGATGTACACTGATACAGATAGGAACTGGAAACACAGGGAATCCAGGACGGATGATCCCTTCAGGACCAGTGGTGTGAGTGGTGATACAAGGAGGATGGAGGAAAGGTGGGGTAGAAAGGGGGAACTGATTACAGGGATCTACACATAACCTCCTCCCTGGGGGACAGACAACAGAAAAGTGGGTGAAGGGAGATATCGGACAGTGTAAGATATGACAAAATAATAATTTATAAATTATCAAGGGTTCATGAGGGAAGGTGGGGTGTGGGGAGAAGGGAGGAAATGAGGAGCTAATATTAAGGGCCCAAGTAGAAAGCAAATGTTTTGAGAATGACGATGGCAACAAATGTACAAATGTGCTTGACACAGTGGATTGTATGGATTGTGACAAGAATTGTATGAGCCCCCAGTAAAATGATTTTAAAAAGAAAAAAAAGTTATATGAGCCCAAACAAAATGATTAAATAAAAAAAATAGAATTCACACTAACATTTTGTTACCATATATTACATAATATATATGAATATATAGTAATACTATATATTTTAGGAGCCCTAGTGGTCTAGTGGTTATGTGTTGGACTGCAATCTTCATGGTCGGCAGTTTGAAACCACCAGCAGCTCCACGGGAGCAACACTGGGCATTGTACTCCCATAAATGGTTAGCAGTTTCAGAAATCCACAGAGGGTCACTATGACTCGAAGGCAGTAAGAGAGAGAGATTGATTATATATTATAGTAACAAAACATTTATTAACATTAATAAAATCTGTTTTAAAAATAGGCAGTTAACAAAACTGAGCAAGTTTTCTTCAACCAAACTGATTAGATCTCAGGAAGTTAGGCCTGTGGTTGGTTGGCACCCTGTAGCTCCCAGGCCACATACAGCTCATTTGGTACATACCTGTGGTTCTGAAGTCAAATTGAAAATGAAAATAAAACTATCAAGTTTCATTTAAAGGATATTATTCAGATAATGGTGATTTCATTTGTGAAAACACATTTATGGCTCTTGAGTAATTTAAAGTTTTTGTGAGAGATTGGATTGGCTCCTCCATCTCATACGTTTGCCAACCCCCGATCTAGGCCATTTGAACTGTCCGGTGAAGTTTCTGCAATCTCATTGTATCCCCTTCACATCCTTCTCATAAAAGTTGCCAACCGAGCTCTGGCCTGTCATGTGTAGCCCAGCTGGAGATTGAAGGACCAACATAGAAGGAACACAGGACTGTGACAAACGTGGGGAACTATAATTTGCTCTGTTTAAAGGGGGTTAAAAAGTAAATGCAGGGAATTTTACTTAGCTCACTTGAGTTCTAAATTCACTTTAGAGGCAGGGGAATATGGAGCTTGAAAGATCTATTATAAATATGAGTTCACATGAGTCTTCACAAAGCCCCAGACCTGGAGAAGCTATAGTTGGGGCTGTGTAAAGAATTTCTAGTAGAAGAGTAAGCTTGATACCTGTTACTGAAGCTTAGAGGGTTTTAAATTCACTTTGGTTAAGAGGCAGCTGGTGGGGCGGGGAGGCAGATGGGAGAATGAAGCTAGGAAGATCTGTGAAAAATATTCACGTGAGCTTCTTAACGAAGTTCTGTAATTTATATTAGTCTTGTCCCTGTGGCCTAGCGGTTACATGCGAAGCTGCTAACTGCGGGGTCCGTGGTTGGAAAGCACCAGGTCCCCTGTCAGAGAGAAGCAAGGCGTTTTCCTCCTTTAAAGAGTCCCAGTGTCAGAAACCCGCAGCGGCACTTCTCTCCTGTCCTGTGCATCTCTATGAGTTGGAATTCACTCGATGGGAGTGAGCTTTTGTCCATGTGATCTTGGCCACTTCTGCCCTTTAGCCTGAGAGTTTCTTTCTCCCTACATAATATTTTGGAAGGCATTGCTTTCCATTAGCATGTATGATGAGTGTGGTTTTTTATTTTTAAATTCCTCATGTTAGGTGGTTGATTACGATAGGCAGTTAATGAATGGGTTCACACAGTCCACTTGCCTGGACTAAATGAAATGCCTTCCAAACACATTTGAACTCTCAGTAAAATAAACCATGACCATCCGAAATTGTTCTCTCAACCTTAAGAACTTTCTTATTTAACACACAATTCAAACATATGTGTATCTTCATGTATACGCTTATTATATAGGACAAGTTATGGGCTGTTTGCAGTATCATTCAGCGCACATATGTAGGGGAAAAACTGAAAAACATGGAACATCTCTTACTTTAGACCTGTTATCAGTAGGACTAGTCCCAGGACATCTTGCCTGGTGAAGTAAGAATCCGAGAGAAAGAAAACCCTCCACAGGACAAACTGACCTAGCCATACACGGAGCTCAAACAAAGCAACCTTTTCACCTTCAAAGTACTCTCCGTTACACTTAATGCGCTTGTCAAATCTGCAGTTCCACTCTTGGAAACACTTTTCTAACTCATCTGTTTCGATGGCTGACAGCACCACCCTCATTTTTTCTTCACCTCTTCTAAGTCATCAAATTTCTGTCCTTTTCATGCCCCTCTTCAATTGCGGAAACAAAAAGAAGTCACACAGAGTGAGATCAGGTGAGTAAGGTGTGTGGGGCAAGAGAGGCATGCTGTTTTTGCCAAAAACTGGCACACTGAGATGGCTGCGTGAGCAGGTGCATTGTCGTGATGGCAAAACCAATCCTGTCTGCCCCAAATCAGGCCTTTGTTGTTGCATACTGCCACACAATCTCTTCAGAACCTCTAAATTGAAAGTTTGTTTAATAGTCTGACATGGTGGAATGAACTCCAAATGCATTCTTCCCCTCACATCAATAAACAAATGAGCATTGTTGCAACTCTATATAATTTGGCTCTACATACATTTAATAGCAAATAAAAGTAAAGTATATAGATAATAATAACCGCAATCAATTTTTTATGGATCCAGCATAATGTAAATATTTGCAATTATGTTCCTACAACCACATTTTCTTGCCTTTACAGCTTTTAACCTGGAGACATGTCGGCTGATGGTTTCTATGCTGGATGTATCCTTTGTTGCTGAGAGAGTACTTTTTTTCTGACCCAAAAAAATTTTTTTCTTCTAAAAGAATTTATCTCAAAATTAGTACCTAGTAAACAAACTGACCAATAACTACGGGAGAGCTTTCTGAAACAATTAACTTTGCAGATGGAATTCGGTGTGAACAAATAAAGGAAGCTTACTAAGTATACTATTAGTCTTTAAGAATTTAAGTACGCATCAGAGTAGAAAGTAGAGAAATAAGTGGCCAAGCAAGCTTTTATTTTCTCTTCAACATTGAGTGTCTTGCCTGCTTCACTCCTGACCTTCAAGTGATGAGATTGTTGTACATCACAGTTGCTTAACTCTGTTCAGCTCCGCATCACTGTTGAGGGAGTTTAGCTAGTGTTGAACCTGCAGTGCCTTTTCTCCTCCCTCAGTTTCCAAAAGGGGTGTCTTTGGGTGTGGGGGTCTTGACAAGGGGTAGGAAGGCCAAAGGGGACTTAGGACAGAAGGGTGGACAGCAGAGTCTGGGGCACCCAGAAAGGAAAGCCCAAGTCCAATGGCATTACATTTTATGCAGGGCTTGTGTTGAAGGTGTTATTTTCTTACAATTATATCACACAGTTTATACTTTTCCCACCATGAAAACAGGTACTCAAGAGTTTTTTTCTCCATTGGTCCTTATATTTTTTTATTTCACACCAAGAAGAAACTTAAGTGATTTTTAAGTCTTGTTAGCAGGAAGGATGTTAACCCCGCCTCCCCCCTTATCCTTGATCTCTGCTGAAGTGTTGCAAAAGAAAGATGCTCCGATCCTTGATTACAGTTCAGAGAGACATGTCGGGCACAATGGGTTTCACTGAGTTTAAAGAACTCTGGGCTGTACTGAATGGCTGGAGACAGCACTTCATCAGTTTCGACAGTGACAGAAGTGGCACGGTGGATCCTCAGGAATTGCAGAAGGCCCTGACGACGATGGGTGTGTATTGATGACTCCAAATTGTTTGTTTGCCAATAGAGTTGTTTCTCATTTCCAAAGGCGTCACTTTGAGGCAGTTTCTCTGTTGGGTCTGATCTGATGTCTTAAATATGTTAGCCATTATGTGCATTTATAATAAGTTCTCAGTCTTAAAAAAAAAAAGAACAATAACTGTGCTTGGTTATTTTTTCAATGATCTATTTTATAATCTTTATTTTTGTTGTTGCTGGTGTAATTTTCTCCCTTTTAGGATTTAGGTTGAGTCCCCAGGCTGTGAATTCAATTGCAAAAAGGTACAGCACCAATGGGAAGATCACCTTTGATGACTACATTGCCTGCTGCGTCAAACTCAGGGCGCTCACAGGTATGCTCTGAGGTCTAGTCACTGCCATGGGCCAAGCCGTCACTGTCCTGACATTTCACTTCTCAGTGCTTCTGAATGTCTCTTCTATCATTCTAGTTTTCCCTCCTAAGAACAGTGTATTCGTAATATTTCTTTCTGGCTTATCAAAAGAATAGCATAATGGTTAAGTGCTTAGCTGGTAACCAAGATTGGAAGTTCAAATTCATCCAGCGGCTACATGGAAAAGCTGGTGATTTGCTCCAGTAAAGATGACAGCTTAGGGGGCAGCTCTACCTTGTCAGATGGTGTCAGTATAAATTGGAATCATAGCATACAACAAGCATATACAACAGTCAAAACACATAAAACTGTTCACACAGCTTAGTAAGAGAGCTCAAATTAGCTTATTCTTACCTTGCTAGTGTGTAATGCAACATGGAACAGAATAAATTTGGTTTTCCAGAATTTTTATAGATTAGTAATTTGCCATTACAATGGTTTTGCAAAACTTTGCCAAAATGTTCTAAAACATATCAGGTTATAAAATTTGTGATTTCTCTCTAGAATGTGAATTATTCCAGAAGACTGTAGTTGCTCGGTTCAGTTCTCTTTCATAACTCATCTAATGGACAAGTAACTTGAAATGGTGGCCTGGTGCTTCCGATGCATCTTCCTTAGCCAGGAAGATGATCAAACTTTGGTATACCGTAGACGTGGTTGTACATCAAACCCACACACATTCATATCGTTAGCCTCTTTTGCTCTGGCTTTTTATCGATATAGTCTGGTTGCACAAGTTGTGTTATTTCATTTTGAATCCAATGCCAAAGTAATTAACTGTTGTGATTTTAGGAAAGAGTAAAGTAAACCATAAATTCTTACTCGGTTGTTTACAGACAGCTTTCGAAGACGGGACACTGGCCAGCAAGGCGTTGTGAACTTCCCATATGATGATGTAAGTCTCAGTGAATTTAAGGGCTGCTAACTAAGTGGGTGTGGCTAAGATGTGCTTCCGAGTGTCCTCAGTGAAGTTACCTGCTAAGAGCAGAACTCTTGGGGATTAAGTGATCAGAGGGCATTTCTGTCCAAAAGTTAAAACTCACTAGTAATGTTACAAAGTCCCGGGGTCACAAACAATTTGTGCTCAAATGCTAACCTGAAAGTTGGTGGTTCAAGCCCACCCAACAATACTGTGGAAGAAAAGACCAGGTGGTGTGCTGCTTGTTAGGACTGTAGCCAAGTGAATGCTTGGGAGGAGTTCTGCTCTGTAGCGCATGGGGTCGCTGTGAGTCAGTCTACTCAGTGACAAGTGATAACAGAAAACAGTAATTCGGTTACAAAGTTCTTATTGACATGCTGTATTCTTTTCAAAACAACAGCACTCTAAAGCTGAGACAAGAAATTTTACTTACTATTACCCTTGTCCATCAGTAGCCTACCAGCTAACAATACCACTAGTTAGTGGTATTTAACTAATGCACTGCATCAAAGTAACTCGTGTTTAAGACCCAGCTTGCCGCACGTATTAAGCTGCACCCGTGCAGGTTTCTGCATTGGCCTGAGCCTGTGTGAGAGAAGAGGACGTAGTAATCATGCCGTCCTCACTGTCCTCAACAAACATCATGCAAACACCTGTCTGCTTTGACCGTCGGTACACAAATCTCCTCAATCCCTGAGAAGTAGCCTTAGCATAGAGCTGTACTCTGCATACTTGGGATCTTCACTGGGACCCAGCTTAAGTCTCACTGTAAAAGAAGTTATTTACCGAATAGCCAGTCTACATCAAGTAGCACAGGCCCTGTAACCAGTGTGGACATAACCAAGTGCCACTTGACTGCATTAGTTGGATGTGCATAATTAAACAAAGATGTTTTATTATTTGACTCCATATTTTGTACAGCTATTGTTTTTTTTTCCAGTCCATCTATAGAATTGCAATCACTGTGATTTCGATTCTAAATTGTTTCTTTGTTACAAGTACAGAGATGTACATATTTTTGGTTTATCAGCTGCTATAGCTATGCAGACACTTATGATCCTGGAGACCCCTTTACTCCCTTGGCTGGAAGATGCTTTCTCTTTAGTGTGCACTCCCTTCTCCGAGACCAAGCCCCAGTGGTGTAGTCATGGCAGACCGGGCTGCGATTCGCATGGTGGGCAGTTCAGAACCACCAGCAGCTCCACAGGAGAAAGACTGGGCTTTCTCAACAGTAAGGCTCAGAAACCCAAAAGGGGTCGCTGTGAGTCAGCACTGACTTGATGGCAGTGAGTTTAACTTCTCGGCATGTAGAATAGACAGCTTTGGCCTCAGAAGGGGCTGCTGCGAAGGCTTAGGTCCCCCCTTCCTTTTCTTGAAAGCAGGGATAAGGCTCTAAGAATGAGTGGTCGCAAGGGTAAAGCCCAGTGCCTCACTGGTGTTGGGAACCAGCAGAGTCTACTACTGTGTGTCTAGTTGGGAAGGAAACACTTTGCAATGAATTCTGGGGCCTCTAAAGGTTCCCAGGGGCTATAACAGTGGAAACTCGTGTCTAGAGTATAAGCTATTATTTGGAATTTAAATAATTCTTATGCAAATAAGATCAGCATCCTCTAAGATTAGATTTGAGAACAACCTCCTTGTATTTAACAGCTTGCCTCACAAAAAACAACAAATAAAAACCTTCCCATCTATCACTTATTTATATTTCAGAAAAGTTTTTTTCTTTCTTAATTCACAGTTTAAATTTGAAAAGCAAAATGCAAGCTGCCTAACAGACAGATAGGGTGTATTGAGTGCTACGCGGCCTGTCATCTAACACCGCCTCTTCTCTTTCAGTTCATTCAGTGTGTCATGAGTGTCTAAATCAAGAGGAGGCTGCATGACCATTCTCAACATTCCTCCGGGGCTCTCCTTTCATCCTCCGCAGCCATGTGTGTACACTTAGGCCGCCATGTACCCGTGACAGCTTGTAAAAGTTTTTACTTTATGTACAGCTTAAGTTTTGTGTGTAGTTTTGATAATAAATTCTTTGGAATCTAAATAACCCACAACCATGACTATTATACCATATTGAACTTCAATCATGTCAGCCAGCCACACCGTATTTTCCTGCTAATGCACTTTCTTGCAGACTTAAGTATGCAAATGTTTAAGGAGTATTATGTATTTTTTACTGTAATGTTCTAAAAACTTTTAGTCGGGTGACTGCTATTGTCAGCTCCCAGAGGGGCTTTTGCATGCTTTTGGAAGTCGCGCTGTGCACACTGCTATGTTCCTGGGGGTAGCCAGAGCACGTACTTTAGTGGAAGCTTAGTGCAAGTCTGAAGGCATACAGGTATCTTCACAGCTGTGTGAGTGGACAGGGAACCCGAGTGATTATTTTCTGCCTCTTCAAGACCTATTGAATAACTTGAATGGTAAATACTGCCTGTCACCGATCCCTCTTGGTCATCTTCCATGTAGACTTTTAATATACTTTGAATTCTCAGTACAGTATGAGGTTACCTACTTAGAAAATTGATAGGAAAAAACTAAAGGAATATGTGAAACTGGTTGTTTTGTGGCTAACTGGAATTTAAGTGACTTGACTTTGTCCATTTCAATATTTCCAACTTCTCTACAATGGGTATTTCCTTTTAAAGTCAGAATATAACTAATTTTTAAAATATCAGTTATCCATTTTTAATGTGCATTTTGCTCACACATATCTTAAAAATACAATGCAAAAGGACTGGAAAGAGTATACCAAAAATTTGAGGTGGTTATTACTGGGAGTTAGCTTCATGGGTTTTTTCTTTCCTCTTACTATTTTTCTAAATTTTCTCTGATAAGAGGATAGTACTTTCATAATAGAAGGGAAAAATGTTTTTTTGAACCACAGACTTTGAAGTGAGACCTGGATTCCCGTCCAGGTTGTACCTCCTGTTAAGTCTATTTCCTGCTCACGGCAGGCGATCGCGGCCCGTCTTCTCCACTGTGAATAGGGTAGCTGTGAACTGCAAACAGCGTCGGCATTAATGTGTGCCAACAATATCTGTTTCTTAAACTTAAAACTGATTGGGCAGCTTTCTTTTCCAAAAAAGTTGAACAGATTAAAATGAAGTTGGTCTGCAGTCTCCTTGCCCAGAGTGTATCCATTGTATTTTAAAATATATGTGCATTGTCAATGAAATAAATGATCAACTAGTTGTCAGCAAAAATAAAGCATTTTTAATGTATCTTTAGCCTAATTTCACTAATATAACCATACTTTCAAACGTTGCTAAAATGTTTATATGGGGGCTACAAAAAGGTCATGGAAAAATACAGTTAAAAGAGAATGGTGTTTTTTTTTTAATACTATATATTTAATCCTAACTTCTTACAAAATTTATCTCAAATAGTTCTGCCCTGGTTACCGGTTACATATTAGAATATGTGGCAACCTTCTATACCTATCGTGTGTGTGTGTGGTGGTGGGGGGAGGGGGGGGTTAGGGTTCATCCTAGATCCATGTCTGCGAAACCAGAAGGCCTCGGTGGAGCCAGGGCTGCCCAGAAAAGGACCGAAGGACGCTCACCTTCAGCATCTCCACAACCTGATTGTTTGTTCAAACTCACTTTCTCTGAGGAAATCATAGTTGAAGGAAACAACCCTTTCCTGTCCGAGTGTAAAGGGAGGCTGGGTCGCATACAGTAAGGAAGAAGACCCTTACTGATCCTCGGTGTGACCGTCCTACCACTTAAATAATTCCCAAGGTACGCTGCACTAACCACGGTTCTGTAAGGTACAATAAAGCCATGTATATGGAAACATTCAGTTAACTCATTTTTAATTAATTCGCCACAGCACGTCTTATCCCTTCCACTTAATCCACCACTTCTTTCGGAAAGCATGGAGCCCAGTCTTCAGTATGTCCCTACAGTTACAGTGTCCTCCCCCTGGACAAATGTGAAGGATCCACCACCTTTCTTTAGTGACAGCCAAAGTCTTCATGACAAGGGCTCGCTCTCCAGTTGCCTTGTTTCCATTTTATGTGGGCTGCGGTGCTTCATTCACTGGGCCGCTGCAGTGAAGCCTCACCCTCTTCTTTAAAACCAGCTCTTGGGGCCTTTTTTCCTTGAAGTATCTAGTCAAATGCTCAACTCATCTAGCTGAACACCTCAGTTGCTTGGAGAATTCATCTGTTGCCTCAATTCAGAATTCAACCGTATTTTGGAGATAAACACACTTTAGTCTTCAGCAACAGAAGATTCATGATTTGTATTAACTAGCATCCATAGAAATGGATGGCTGGAGAAGACATGGCGCTTCCTGGGGCAATTGGAGGAGAAGCATACTGCAGCTGTCTTACTTCATCAAAGCTCTCAACCAAGCAGAGTTTAGACACCACCATGATGTTCCAGTGGTGCCACCCATCCCTGAAATGGTCTGGGAACTTCAACTTCGCCTGTCTTTGAGCTAGACTCGGCTTTTGCATCACTGACCGATTGCCACTGTCCCAGTGCGCACCTTAATGTGTACCATTGTAAGAAATGGAGGTATATACATGGGCCACCAAACATACTCCAGTACTGTGCTTTTTTACCACTAAGTCAGCATCTAGCAACTGACTTTGAGTTAGTGCCTCCAGTGGTGCCGCCTGGGAAGGTTCTGTCCGCTTACAGTGGATTTTTCGTAAAAGCAGTTCCGCTTGAACCTCATTTTCTGTGATGGCTGATTTAAGAGAAGAGCAGAGTGCAGCTGTGAAATTGTCTCAAGGAAAAATGCCGCAGAATCGGTTGTGATGTTGAACACAGCTTACAAGGACAGGGCTATGGGAAAAACTCAAGTGTATGAGTGGTTTCCTAGTTTCAACAAAGGGGAAATGTCAATTGATGACAAACCTCGTTCTGGACGTCCGTCATCTTCCTGAATGCACCAACAAGGAGCCATTGAAGAGATGGGGAAGGGAGCTGGTCTGTCTTGCCGCTCAGTCTAGTGAGTTTTCACAGAAGGCTTGGGAATGAGAAGGGCCCCTGTGAAGTGTGTGCCTCAGGTTCTGACTGACAGGGAGAAAAGCGAGTGGAACCATGCTGTGCTTTGAAAGAACTGCTAAAGCCACCTGCCTTTTTTCCAAGGCCATTACTGGTAAGGAGATATGGTGCTATTCTTATGACCCCGAGAGCAAACATCAATCCAGTGGAAGACACCGTAGTCACCTTGTCCCCCAAAAGCTCATCAAGTGAAATCAAAGATAAAGACGGTTCTCATTTGCTTTTCTGATGTGAGGGAGATAGTGCATTTGGAGTTTGTTCCACCAGATCAGACTGTTAATCAAGCTTTCTATTTAGAGGTTTTGAAAAGATTGTGTAACTGTGTGTGACCATAAAGGCCTGGATTTGTGGCAGAGGGGAAACTGGTTTTGCCACTATGACAATGCACCTGCTGACGCAGCCATCTCAGTGCGCCAGTTTTGGGCTAAAAACAGCATGCCTGTCTTGCCCCCCCACACCTTACTCACCTGACCTTGCTCAGTACAACTTCTTTTGTTTTCTGGAATGAAAGGCACGAAAGAACAGTGATTTGACCACGTAGAAGAGGTGAAAACAGGTGCTGTCAGCCATCCAAACATGAGTTTGAAAAATGTTTCCAAGAATGGAATCGCAGTTTTGACAAATGTATTAAGTACAGTGGAGAGTACTTTGAAGATAAAGGGGTTGTTTTGTAAAAAAAAAATGTAAATACATAGCTTTGGGGGGAAAATGCATTTGCAGGGGAGGTACCCTCTCCTGTTTCAAAAAAGAAGGCTAAGAAAGCCTGGAAACCTTCATTTTACCAGACGAGCAAGATGTGAAGCTCTTGCTCGACTTATTCTCCGTCTGGCCCTGGGCACGTCTGCAGGCCTCGTTTCCAGCTCTCCCTAGAGAAGTCTGCACTCTGACTGCCAGGTGGGAAAATGTGGTTGGGCAGCCTCGTGTTCCTTTTCGGTGTCCGCATGTGGAGGCATGGAGAAGTCTGAAGGGATAGGGCAAGGTTTCCCAGTGAAATTCTCACAGGAAGCACTTGTTACCCCTTTAAGAATGAGCTGGTACATGAGGGGAAAATGTTGGCCCAATTGCGTACTCTTTCTCACAATGCAGTGTCAATTTCATTAAAAATTCTTCATCATAAGCCCCGTGATTATCCTGTATCCTTGGAAAAGTCTATCATGATTTTTCCTGTGGAATCCTTAAGAACAGTCGTAAGCCTCTAGGCCAGCGGTTCTCAACAGTAGGTTGCGACCCCTTTCGGGGTCAAATGACTCTTTCACAGGGGTCGCCTGATTCATAACAGTAGCAAAATGACAGTTATGAGTAGCAACGAAAATAGTTTTATGGTTCGGGGGTCACCACAACATGAGGCACTGTATGAAAGGGTCACAGCATTAGGAAGGTTAAGCTAACCTCCCTATCTGTTCTCAGAAAGGCCTAGTTTTGAGTGGACATTGCTGAAGGCACCAAACGTGTACAGAGAGAACGTGTCGGCATCCTCCACTGATCACAGACATGTTGAAACATGTTGGACTAAACTAGTGCACATCTTAGCTGGAACCCCAGTCAATCACAATCCCATCTGACTTAGCCTCACATAATCATTCTCTTGAAAAGTCTCCCGCTACATGCACCAACTCTTAGCCAGCGACATTCTTCTACTTTCCTCCCATGAAAACAGCACTTCTTCGATGACTTACGGTTTCTCTTTACTTCGGCAGAGACCTGAAATTGCAACACTGGAGTGACAACCCGAGGGTATAATGATCACTGGAAGAAGCGGCCAGAGTGGACTGATGGATTAGGCAGTGAATTCATCGCCACCCCGGAGCTCTGAAGTCAGCACAAGAGAGTATTAAGTAAGCATATCCCATAATGAATATGACGTGAGGCAGGTGGAAATCTGCCACCCAGGGAAGAAAACCACCCAACAAGTTGTATCCATGCGGCCACCTAGAAGACTGGCTCAGAGGAGGGGCAGTGTGGAACAGAGAAGAGAATAAAACTCCACAAAGTGTCTGAAAGAGAACAGCTGCGATAGGAGGGCAGAAAAAAAA